ATATAGGGGTGTGAATAATTAAACAACTTTTCAACAGTAAAAACACTTAAATGCTACATTTCAAATGTTCAGAATCCATCACTAAATTAATCAATTATCATCATTTAGTGAGAAACTTGTGCTGATCTAATCTAATCTAACAGCAGTTGATAAAGAGGAGTTATTTCTCCTTCCTGTGAGACTTTCTTTATCTGTGTCTCATTTAAATACCATACACTAACATACAGTATGTACTAAATACTCTTAAAGTGAGACTATGCAACTTCTTAAAGCAGCTATGATCAATAAATGAGTCTGTTCTGCCGTAGTGCGACATCTAGTGGCCACAGTAGGTCATGGTCACAGTTCTGACTATAAAAGGAGTATTGTTTTGGTTGCTGTAGTTGTCCTATGTGAGTCTTTATCTTTCAGCCTCTCTTCCTCTACGCGGCGTTGCAAGCAGTCCACGCACCGCTGCAGGTGCCCGAGCGCTACGTGGCCCCCTACAGTTTCATCAAAGACCCCGAGCGCAGGCTGTACGCAGGCATGGTGTCGGCCATGGACGAGGCAGTGGGCAACATCACTCTGGCTTTGCAGCAGGAAGGACTCTGGGACAACACGATCCTGGTGTTCTCCACTGGTATGTTTTTGTACTGAGAGGCTGGATGAACCTCATGTTGGTGCTAGAGGAACAGACAGAGGATCACTTAAATCATTAAGATTCACCTTCTGGGGAAGATGAATGTCATGGCAACAACAGACAGTCACGAGCTAAAGGTTTGAACTTAATTAAGGATGAAGATGTTATGTCTGACTGAGCGTACAGTGATGTAGTTACAGCTCATTAGATTAGCATTAAGGCACTTAGATGATGCAGTAATAGTGACGAATAATGAACACTTTATCTCCTCTAGAGTCTTGTGGAAACGTTTTTTAAAGATGTAAGCAAATGCTGCTCATTGTTTAACTTGACTTTATTAGATTTAACTTCTACAATTTCATTGGAAACCTACAATGAAAGAGTGAAGTTTTTAATACATAGATAGGATAATAAGGTGAAACGCTCTGGGAATGTTGATATATTTTCCACGGCTTCTATTTATTTTTTTTCCATCTGAGTCTTTCATTGTGTTCCAGAGTGGAAACCAAATCAGAGAGCGCTAAGTAAAGAGCAATTACATTTTATGTGCACAGACTCAAAACCACGTTTTCTGTGCGCATCAAAGCCAGTTTTCCCAGAGTCGAGAGGAGTTCAGGTGACAGCCTGGTGACGGGTTTATTGAGTTAAAGCATCAGAGAGTTAGATAACATAATTTTATTACACGATGGTCAATAGGGAAGGCCACGTGGAAACAGATGAGCATCCTTTGGCCTGTTTCTCAGTTGAGATCCTCAGTCATTTCTTTATTGGGGTCAAAACGGTGATATTATAAGTTTGGCATTGAAAATAAAAGTTGGCATTGAAAACAAATCCTGAACATTGGCATTGAAACACATAGATTTTTTCTTAAGTAAAGTGCCAATACAACCTTTGAATGCCAGTGTTTACTTTTTCAGTTGAGCATTTGTTTTCAATGCCAAAATTATAATGTCACTGTTTTAGGCCCATGAAAGAGAGAGTGACTGAAGATCCTAACTGAGAAACATCAAACATGCAAAAGATATCTGTATTGAAAAAGCATAAACAATTATTATTATTAATTTATTATTAATTAAGTTTATAAGCAATTCAATGCAAAATTTAATTTTTAATGCTAAAATTATAAAGTTGCTGTTTCAGGCCCATAGAGAATAATTAGAAACACCAAACGTGAATGAAAAATGTTGTATTGGCCCTGTACTGAAAAAACCTGACAACAATTACAAGTGTTTCAATGCCAATGTTTTGCTTTTTAATTTCAGGATTTGTTTTCAATGCCAAAATTATAATGTCACTGTTTTAGGCCCATAGAGAATAATTGCGAAACACCAAACGTGTAAGATATCAGTGTTGAAAGAAGTTCTATTGGCACTGTGCAGAAAAAAACCTCTGATGTGTTTCAATGCCAGTGTTTTACTTTTTAAATTCAGGTTTTGTTTTCAATGCCAACTTTTATTTTCAATGCCAAAATCCTAATTTCACTGTTCTAGCACCATAATTCTCCACCAATCCTGGTCTGGTTACACTGAAAATAGCTTTTGTAATACTCTGGATGCCCACTAGAGAGCAGTGTTATGCTGTATTTGTTCTAATGGGGATTTTTTTTATGTAGTTAGACTCATTGGCAAGCAGGATTGGAGATTTACAGAGAGAAATCACTCTGACTTTTAGCTGGCTCATCTCCTCATATACGCCCCTGAACCTCCTAAATTACCCGTCATATAGACTTTCTGATGAAGAGCAAGGTATGCAGCATCATCTAAACATGTGCTTGCTTCTTGGGTTTCCACATGTGAAACTTGTAATGAATTGCATCTGAAGTAGGTAACTCCTTTTGAGGGTTATTTTTAGGGCAGGGGGGTGTTTTTAAAGGGTAATTAGGAGACAGGAACAATGCTGTGAAAGTAAAGTGCGAGGTTTTTCTTATGCCCGTGGTGGAGGCTGCGGTAGGTGGCCTGTTTCATTGTTCTTCCACACATTTGGCTCTAACTCGAAGCATTCAGCCAGCCATATGCCGGGCAGACTCTGCTGATGAAGCTGAAGGGGGAAAAACTCCTGAATACTTCCTGCTTCTGTGTCAATGCGATGAGCACCGGTTATGTAATATTGGACTTTGCCTCCCAGTGATATAGCTTATAAATGCACACATCCCTTACCGGATATCAATAAGGCCTGTCAGTGGCTTTATTAGTCCAGCTTACAGTTTAACATTTACTCATGTTAAAGCTGTTACTGTTGACCCACATGTGTCAGACTTAACAGGAAATAAACGAGGGCCTAACCTTGAAATTCCTATATGATGAAATTTTCTGCAAAAAACAACTTTACTGTAAGCAAATGAGCTTTTAGGTGAAAGCTGGGAAAGGGAGAGCTGGCCCGGTGGAGAGCCAGAGCAGCTTGAAAAGGCATTAAGGGAGCAGACGGTCTTTTCCAGAACTGTTCGGGAATCGGGGCAGACTACTTCCTGGACTTGCATGACACTCTTCTGCTGAAAGGGGAGCCCTGCCTGGATGTGATTGGACAAGTGTGTTTATACTGGACTGGACTTATTGGGATGATGACAGCCGGTCTCTAACTGCCTGTGTGTGTGTGTGTGTGTGTTTGCACTTGTGTAATGGTTGGATATTGTGCAGGAGTTTTTGTCTAACAAGGGAGACAAATGGACCGACAGTGCCGTGTTGTTTTAATGTCTTAGATCACTTGTTTTTAGCCACACTCGTGTTATGACTCAATAGGAGGCAGTGTTTGTCGTTCCACCACATTGTTCCAGACTGAAATATCTCCACATGTACTGGATGGATTGCAATGACGTTTGGTAGAGACGTTCATTTTCCCAAGAGGATGAATTGTAATGAGTTCGGTGATCGCCTGACCTTTTCCTGTAGCGCCACCAGCTGGTCACTTATCCAGATCTATCAGATGGTTAAGTGTAAATTCTGTACAGGATTTTGTACATGGTTCCCAGCGGATGAATCTTAATGACTTTTTTTCTGCCTCTAGCGCCACCATGAGGTTCACACTTGTAGTTTTGTGTGAAATGTCTCAGCAACTATTAGATGGATTGATAATTAAATTTAACGCACATTCATATCCTCCTCAGGATGAATTGTAATAACAAAAAAAGGTTTTTGATGCATGCGTCAGGCGAGCATTCTCCTTAAATTGAATTGGATCTCATTATTTATCTATGGCACAACCTCACAGATCATGTCTGTAGCTCTCTATATGTGCTCAGCACTCAGTACGATAGTCCGTGATTTGGTTGGATATCGTTCTCTTCCCAAACCTTAAAGGAAACTATATTTTTTACCTATATTTTTTATTCAGCAGCGGGTTGCATCTTCAAAGATGTTTTCATGATCAAACAGACAGTCGACTTTCTGTCTGGAAAGATAGAATGTTTGTCCAGGGCCCTAAACACAATGTTAAAAACAATATTTCCACACTCTGCACCACTCTGCACTCTCCAGTCTGTGGAAATATTGCATTTAATTCAGTATACCGACACCTCTCCAGATCTCACTCTTTATGCCTTTTATATATTCACTGATTTAAATTCCCTTTGTCTTTCTTCCCCTCGTGTGATTACATTTTGTCCCTCCGGTTGTTTGACAGATAACGGAGGTCAAACACTGTGCGGTGGCAGCAACTGGCCACTGCGAGGGAGGAAGTGGTCACTGTGGGAGGGAGGGATCCGGGGAGTCGGATTCGTCGCTAGCCCGCTTCTGAAGCAACAGGGAACCGTCAGCCACGAGCTCATCCACATCTCTGATTGGCTGCCAACACTCGTCGGCCTGGCGGGAGGGAGCACCAACGGCACAAAGCCACTGGACGGATTCAACGTGTGGAACACAATCAGGTGAGCCGGGCCATTGTACAGGTCTCACACATCTGGGACTTGAACTCCCAGCTGAGAATGTCTCCTGGGTGGCAGGTCAGCAGCCTGCGGTCTGAGTTTACAGCATGAGCGATACCAGCTCTTGAGTTTTGACAGGCTGCCCTCTCTTTGTGCCTCTTTCCGACCCCCCCCCCATGTGCTCTCGCTCCAACTCCCTCTGCCTGTCTCCCTGACCCAGCGTCTTTTTCTTGTCAGAGCCCCTGCTCCTTCAATAAGCCCTTTGTTACTGTGGCAATGGGAGCTCAAAGAGAAGGAAATTCCATCAGTCATTCTCACACAAATCTTTAGTCCTTCCATCCCTTTCTTTCTTTTCTCTTATCCTCTCTCCATCCCCACCTCTGCCTCTTAAGACCTCCGAAAGCCTGCTATTGGATAAGCTAATTAGTTTAGCTACAAATCCTTTTATGTGGCAACATACCTGAGACGTTTTAATTCTTTTATATGTAACATATTGAATCAGTTTAACTTTTATGTTCCAGAGAACTTTTGCAAAGAGTGATTTAATAAGTCGCATGCAACTGCTGTCAGACCACAGATGAATTTTCCGTGCTGGTTTGTGTGCAGGTCATCACAATCACACAAGCTGTCACTGAGTCCTGTTTGACTGACACATTGTATTTGTAAACTAAATGTGGACACAGTGAAGAAGGTGAAATTGAGGGCTGCAGCAGAGCCCCAGCAGAAAATCAAGGCTTAGCCTGGACCACAAACTACTACTCACAGCCTCCACTTGACTCGATTGGCTGACGCACGTCAGCTGACCGCCAGGCTGCTGGCGTTGCCGTGTGAGCTGCACAGCAACGCAGAGCGCAAACTGCTGTTTTGTTTTCACTGCTTTACAGTTTCATTTAGGTTTCTAATTGGCGCTTCTGTTACAGACAAACAGCAGCCTCACAGCTCGGCCGGTAAAATTAAAAACCAAATGAAGGCCCCGGAACAGTAGGCAGGCAGAAGAGAGCGAGAGTTATTTTAGTTGTGTTATCAGACACTGTGGTCAGCGAGAGCAGTGTGTTTTCTCTGTGGTGGAGTGCGGTCAGAGCGTATGACTGCCTGATGAACAACAGCCAGCTGGTTTAGATTTACAGATCCCAGAGGATTTTACAGTGCATGAGTCAGACATCGTGCTGTGTGTGTGTGTTGGTTGTGTATCCATATGTTAAAGAGTCACACTGCCTTTTTTTATCTTACAGCAAAGGATTTGCCTCACCCAGACTGGAGCTGCTGCACAACATTGACCCTCAGTATATCGACATCGCTCCGTGTAAGTTCACATGCATACATCCAATGAACACAGCTGAGGCTTTTCCCAGTCTTGTCTCTACTGTCATCAGAGCACGTAAGATTAAGGCCTAATACCTCCAGCAGGGTTTCATCTGTGGATTTGTTGAAGTCAAGTTCCCACACTGTGTGAAGCTGTGTATGTGCAGTGTGTGTATGTATGCATCCAAACCAGACCTGGTAAAGAGTGATTGACAGGGAAGTTCAGGGGGGAGAGAGGATTGACGTGCAGTAAAGCGCTCAAGCTGCTGAGGTGAGGACTCAGCTTTGATAAGTGGTACGCACTCTACCAGGTGAGCTAACCGAATTTATACATGACAAACACTGATGGACATGCAGAGATTCACTGCGAAAAATATTCATAGCAGAATTTGATTATTTAACTTCCTTGCCTAATCCCTGCAGCTATTGCTGCTCTAAACAAAGGGCCGTGCTGAGTGTGTAACCTGTCATGTATTATTTATTTAATTGCTGTTTGTTTTTCTTTGTGGATTTGTTAATTGTGGATGCCGTGTTTCTTTGTACTCTACAGTGTTAATTATCAGCAAAGGTTAACATGCTAAACTAAGATGGTAACCATGGACAACATTATACCTGCTAAACATCAGTTTGTGTCCTTGTTAGCATGCTAATATTAGTATATTGCTCCAAGCGCTGCGGTGCATAAGGGCCCAAATATGCTCATTTCTGTAACATTCACATCCACTTTAACGCCGTGATTCGTCAGCTATACCGAGGTGAGAAAGAAGCCGTGGTTTGAACTTGTTGACGTGTTGTCCAATCATGTTTGTAGCTGATCCAAAGTGAGAAGTGAAAAGAGAGAGGGCCGACACAGTATTGTTTAAATTCAGGGAGAACAGCGCACATTTTCAGACCGTCATTCCTGGGAGACATTCATAGTGTTGCACTTAGTTGAAAGGGACAAAAATAGTTGTGTCAGGAATGAACAAAGAGCTGTAGAGAGAGACGTTTGGAGTCGTACCAATCACAGCATGAAGTGTGAGTGAATGTTAGATTACAGGAAGGGAGTTTTTAGCTAGTATTCGACCGTCTTACAAGCCCTTCTGGAAACCATTTCTCACGAGTTAACCTAACCTGCATGTATTCGAACTGTGGGAGCCAACCAGTACATGCACACTGTTAGCCACTTTAAACCATTTCAGCCATTATTCACGTGCCAGCGACAACAACTTGATAAAGCACGTCGAGGTGATGGAAACCTGATGTAGCCTCTCCTCCTCTCTGTGTGCATGATGTCTATTGTGTGTGTGTGTGTGTGTGTGTGTGTGTTTCTTTTTGTTTCTAATGTTATAATTCTACTACTTTCTTCCCAACATGGCCACAAGTATCAAGGGCTCATTGTTTGAGTCGGTATTCATCACAAATACCAGACATCGTGAATCCAATTAACTCAAGTCAAAGCAGACTGGGGCCTAAGAATAGTGTGTTACATAACATTTGACTAAACTCACATTAGCGTCGTAGAAAAGCCCCGTTGTGTGTTTATTATGAGAGTTTGAAAATTTGTTTGAGTGGATTAAAGTTTATGAGGAATCTGGCTGGAGGTGAGTTGATTTTAAATGTGTGTTACTTTAATGTCATGATTTATTATTTTAATTACAATGAGACTTCTTCCACTTAAAGGTTATCTGAATCATTTAAGAACATATTCCTTTAATTAGCTTTATTTTTTCTCACATTTTAGCCACATTTCCTGATTGCTGTCCCTCATAAAATGTTTGTTATTCTGTTTACATGTGAGGAACTGCTGATAGCACAAGGTTGAAATTCTAATCAGTCCTCTGTTGAATCTGTAATGAGTCAACAGTGTTGTAATCTGAGATAGTTGACGTTGGAGGGCAGGGTGTGTGTGTGCTTACAGTTCAAACTCTGTGATTGTAGGGAGGTTTCCAGGAAATAGGTCTTGTGACTGTCTGTTTTTTTTTGCTGCTGTCAAACACAGTTGAGTGGTCTCATTCTTGTCTAAACCACTTTAATATTAGGTGGTCCTGGTCCCGGTTTGAGGCCACTATTTCTGACATTGTGGAAGGTGCTGCACTTAAGTTACATGTTTAAAAATAGTAGAGGTATAGGAGGAGTACATTTTTGGGCTGAAATGTTTCACAGATGTAGCATAATGGGCACATAATGGGTCGTCAGAACAGATGAGTTCCCTTTGTTCCGCCGTAGAGGCATAACGTTCATCTCCTGGAGGTACAGTGGTTTTCAAACTGGGGACCTTGAGTGGGCTGTAGGGACAAAAGGAGGAAGGATGGGGAAGTGGTCGTTCCACATTGAGAGAAAATGGGGAAAGATTGAGCATATTTTCCCCACATATACTTTTTTTAAAAGCCTTAATGGTAGGTAGTGTAGGGTCCAGACAGTGGCACGCTTGTCCTACATCAGAAGGGTCAATTCTGCAATTTAAAGCATCATTAACTGATTTATTTTGGCCACTTAGGTGTAGCAGAACAAACACTACATGCACAAAATTGGCATAGTTCATATGGTGGACATGTTAGTCAAACAGTTGCCTATTTGCACATCTAGCAGCACATGGAGTAATGTTAGTATTCATTTGGACTCCTTCTCATCACCAAGTCCAATATTTACCCTCCTCTTAGCTCTGTTTTGGTTTTGGTGTGGTTTAACACTAGGTGTGTGTGACTGTTGGCTCGAGAACAACAATGGCAGCTGCTAAATAGGTTAGCGTAGCAGCTGTTAGCATCAGTTATATCAGAACTGGAGAGTATTTCTTCGTTGAAAGAAGATCAAAGAACAGCACTGAAGACTTTTTACTCTTTTTCTGACTTCTGTAAGAGTTTGACTGCATTATACAGTAAAATACAGTTCACCTGTGATGGACGGATGGTTCATCCAATCCTCTGCCATGACTTCCCAAATGATTCTGTGTAACAAACCACTCTGGGGCAGTCAGGTTGAAGAGGAACTGCAGATTTTGGTATTAATTCTCTTCAGGGTTTGTTACTACGAGTAAATCCTTTAACATTACACATAGTCGAGAATAATGACAATAAAATGAAATGAATATAAACAAAGTAAAGAAGAACGACTGGGAGACACCCAGATAACCTCAGTTTAAATATCTACGTCCCATCACTGATTTATAGCGTTTTTGAGTCGTGGCTGTTTATACAAGCTTTAGGCCCAGTGGAGCTGAAATTATCGGCATTGTAAGTTCACTGCTGGTCATTACCATCTAAATCATTGGGATGATAACAGAACCCAGTTAAGAACAACACTGCTGCTTTACAAGCTTTTCATGTTTTATGTTTGAATCTTTATCGTCCGCCACCACAGTTGACAACCAGTTCCTCCTGATGCATTCCAGCCTGAGCTTCCTCCTTTCTTTCCTCCCTCTTTCCCATTAACGCAGCCTCTCTTCTTTGAGACCCCCGGCTCTCTGCGTTACTTCTCCTTTTCTTTCAGCCTCTCTTTATGCTTCTTTTTCAGGTTTCTCTATTTAACTCATGAAAAGGCTTTTTTTTAACATACTTTATCCTTTCAAGTTGCTTTTCAAAAATCCTTCGCTCTGTGTGAGAAGAGGGATCCCGACTAAATGGGTCACAGAGGGGTCCCTGAACTTCTCGCTTGTCGGGAAGAAACCCTGGACTGGGCCCAAGCCTTAAATCACCCCCCAAATTTCCCTCTGAGGGTCTCTTCCCGCTGTCCCTCCCCTTCCTTCTTCTTGAGCCCATTTGTGGATTCTCCCCGCTGTGGATCCAGATGAGCAAAGCCTGTGCTCGTGCAAAGAATGAATGTAAGAAATGGACAGTGTGTGTTGGCATTTGAGGCCTCTTTCCTTAAAAAAAAGCAAGCATAGAAGAGCTAGAGCCCCCCAAAATGAATTTAACCCTGAGTCCAAATCATTTATCATTCCACCTGCTTACATTACGATATTACCACCTGAATCTGGCACTACTGCGGGTCTGTTGTTTACTGTTTGTTTCAGGGATCGCTCCGTGTTGAGCAACGCGGCTTTAATGCATGTGAGAACAATTAGGATACCCACATGTCATTTGCGCAATGATCAGTGAAGAACTCACTGTCAGAGCTTTTATCATGTGGTCGCAAAAACGCTGAGATCGGAAATGTTTTAATTCTCCAGTCATGTCGCTGTGGTCGAATCGACTCTATAAAACAAGCTCCGATGGGAACGTGGGATTTCTGTGGGTGGGGATCTGTCCGTGCGCTGAGAATGTGAGGAAATGCTTTGTTTTTGACAGTGTCAGGACGACGAAATTACTTGCAAATCTGTCTAATCAGGACCACATTGTCGGGGTCAGCCACGGCATGAACCTGAGAATGCTCTCAAGGCCGGAGTGTGTTCACTTCTGGGAGAGATATTTTCCGTAAGAGCAGAAATAGCTCGTGGCAGGAGGCTGCAGAAATGTCTGGACACCCTCAGAACGAGGATAAATTATTTACTTTTGCCTTATGAAACTGGTAAAATGATGCCAGTTGGTAACCGTGACCCTTGTTCCTCATTTGCTTACCGTTTTTTTTCCCATCTGCCCGCTTGCAGTAACGGCAGATTATTCATTGTGCTTGGCAGAAATGAAAGACTGGTGCTGAGTTGACCACATTACCACCATATTTGTCAAATTCCCTCCAGCCCTCCCCCCAAAAAAAGTTCCATGTGTTTGAGGAAAATTCACACAATTTCTGTCCTTAAAGGGGAGGATTGTTTTGAACCAACTCAATTCCTACTGTTTCACTGTTGCTTTTTACTGCACAAAAAGTTTGTTATTAAGTTTATTTTATTTTCACACCTTCACTTGATCCTGATTCTCAGGTATGCGCTGACATTTGGTGCCAGTCTACCTACAAGTGTGGTTTACACAGACATCCACAGAAGGCCTTTTGTCCAGTGGTAGTCTAATATCATCTTGATCAGCAGTTTCTAGTTGTTTTAACAATGGATGACCTCCATGATCAGCTCTGTCCTCTGCTCTCTGCAGGTCCTGGCATGAAGCGTCGGTTAACTTTGGCTCAGGTGGGCAGCGGAGACTCCCGGGCCAACTCTGGCTTCAATGTGTCCATTCACGCCGCCATTCGATCCTCAAACTGGAAGCTGCTGACGGGCTACCCAGGTCAGTATCTTCTGTCACCCGTAATGACATGTTTAGTCTAAGTGGGGAGCGGAAAATCAAGCATACTTACGAACAGACATTCACTTCTTATCTCTGCTAATCACTGCTGGATGAAGTGTCCTTTTAGTTTAAGTAGAAGTACCAATATATGCCAAAAGGTCCCACTTAAACAATTAGTTTTTAACTAGTCTCTGTTTAATACTGATGCCTCTATATGACCTGATCAGAGAGAAGATTGGTTATTTCTATATAGTTATTCTTAATATTTGCCACCGGGTTGGATTTACCTTGAAATCAATGAAACAAGGCAGTACAAACATTACCGCTTTTGTCCACAGGTGCCGCCAAAATCAACACAAAATGAGAGTTTCTTGTTGCTGCTTTAAGTAAAAGTACAGAAGAGTAGAATATTGAAAGTAAAAGTACTCCTTACATAGAACAAAGGCAGCTGTGACTGATATATTATTGTATATGACAGTGTTTCTTAAATGTATTGTACATCTTTTATAAAGATATTTTTATTCTACCAAACATGTTTTAAGCTGGTCGGGGTAACTTGGCTGCAAACATATTTAAAAAGAGGGTACATATAACATCAGATTGGTAATAATTGTGTATGAATGTATAAGCAGCATTTTTTTTTGTGGGTGCTTTGTTTACAGGGATTTGACCCCTCCAAAGGGTTGTGAGATGATTAATGGAGCAGGAAAAAAATCATTTCTTTTGGACCAACAGAGGAGTTTAGAGGGGAAATATCGCTTTGGTGGAACTGCTAACAACTCATAGAGAAATGTGACAAGGGGCCCCAACTAGACACTGCTTTTACTTGTCAGCGGTCAAAAGCCAAAAATGTTGGGATCCACTGATTTGAATCTTTAACAAAGTATTTTATTTTAGAAGCTTATTGTTTATCTTTTTATTATTGTAGCGGAGTAAAAACTACAATACTACTAAACTTTTATTATTTGCATTCAAAGGAAATACTCAAGAAAGGCACCTCAAAATTGTACTTATGTGCTCCAGGTTGTGACGTTTGGTTCCCCCGACCCGGCGACAACAGCTCCAGCCCCTCGGATGTGCCTTCGCTGAAGCAAGTGATGCTGTTTGACATAGAAAAAGATCCAGAGGAGAGGAATGAAGTATCCGCTCAGTACCCTACAGTGGTGGATTATCTCCTCAAAAGGCTCTACAGCTACCAGAAGAGTGCCGTGCCAATAAATTTCCCCGCTGATGACCCCAGATGTGACCCAGGCCCCACTGGCGCCTGGGGACCCTGGGCTTAGATGACAATGACGATGCTTTGTTTACTGTGAAATGTGAAGTCTTAGAAATATTTTCTTACTCTAACTAAAAGATAATCATCATGCCAAATCATCCGTACAACCAGGAGAGGAGTTCAGTCATTAACTTGACTGCCAGATGCCGCCGTAATTATTGATCTGTGTCCAACGTCTGAGACACTTTCAGAGCTTTATTTAAAGTGATTATGTAAAGATACACATGTTACTGATTTGTAAAGAGCATCTTCCCTGCTGTTTCAGGTATTTGTATTTTATTTATCTACTGTTGAGAAACTGCAAGTTACTTGTAGCTGTCAAAACACTTGAGCTTTTTATAGATTATACAAGAAGAAAAGGAAAGCATTTGATGGTGTTAAGAGATATAAGAGGCACGTAATGTTGATTTTTACCAAGATTTGGAGCTTTAAAGCAGCACTAATCAACATTTTTTATGTTGACAATGGATAAAATGACTACAAACCCACCTTTTTTCCAGCATCTTTCAGCTAAAGATTTCACTGCTCTCGTCTGCGTCGTTTCCACCAGCAGCAGGAACTTGTTTTTTCTCAGGGGTTAGTTGAGACCTGTAGTTACCTGATTTTAATCGCCATTCAGCACCATGTTGTATCTTTTAAAGATATTTTCTGCTTTATATTTTGTCAAACATGTTTTAATGAGGAAGGATTACAAGATGTAGGACATGAGAATGAAGTAAGTAGTGCTAATGAATTCTAATGTTGCTCGGTATCTGCTGTTTGCTAACAGCCATATCCTTATCAGGTGATAATGTGTCAGTGTTGTGTTTACAGCTTGTTGCATTGCCCCTAAATCACCAAAGAATTCATTATTGCAGGTTTTAAAGTATGTTTTATAAAATGAACTGCACTCTTTTGTGTTTGTTTGTTTGTTTGTTTTAAATTAATTTTAAACACCACTATTTGTAAGTGCCTTCTGGAGTCTGTTGCCAGGTTTATTTGTTCTGGAAACAAATAAATAATAAATGAGAATTTAGCTAATTACAAGTGCTGTTTTGTATTTTTTAGGTCACTTGTTTCCCGTCCAGTTGCCTTAAAGTTAATGCGTCGGTGCTAAATGGGTTAGATTTCTGTTTAGAGGTTGAAAATGTGAAGAATTTCTTGTGCTCTTCAGGTATCCTTTATATTATGACTTCAGCAACAACCTCCCACATGCCAGTCGTTTGTGAATGTGCTCTCTGAGGTCATTTAGAGATACAGTGATATATCTTCTGTGTTTACTAAAGCGTAAAAATCAGACGGGATATTTTGCATATTTGGAATCTAAGTGGCAGAAACTAATTTTCTTAATACATACACCCTGTTTGACCTTTGGGCCCTTGGTGATTGACCTCCCATTGGCAGCAGCGTGCAGACTACCACAGGAAATGCTCCCTGCAGAGAGTGGGCGGCCCTGTCCTAATGTGAGCTGTGACCCTTAACCTGCCATGTGAACTGATTGGCAGCTGAGCAAAGCAAACAACAATGCTGGTTACTGTGGAGAACAGTAGCGCTATTTGCTATTAGCAGATTAGTTGATGTCACTGACTAGTTTGTGCTTTTAGAAACAATCGGCTAATTTATAGTCAAAGCTGTGGAGTCTACCAGTAAAGGAAGAGGTGGACATTTAGGAAAATATGCTTATTTGATGTCTTGCCGAGTGATAGATGAAAAAATCGATACCACTCTCGTCTTTGTACGCTAAAGTATTTCTTTTATGGATGTTTGGAAACTACATAAACTCCTCCCAATGTTGTGGTTTGACAACTCAAGTCCACTTCCTACCTTTTTCCAGAGCTTTCAACCATATCACTTGGTCTTCATCAACAGACTGAGTCGACTCAGTTGTCTCAGAGTTGGATATGATGACATGTGAGCTCAGTAGCTGTTAATTATTTAATCCGTAACACTTCTTACGACTTCTGATCCTAAAAGTCTCGACAGCCACCGAATAAACTCCATCCAAAAAAGCTCAGTAAGTGGACCTTGAGTCGTCGATTGTTTTGTCCCAGAATGAATTTTGATGCTTAATTAATGAGTGTCTTTGGAGATTTTAGGCCGTGTTTCACTTAATTATTTAGCGGCAGTCCACCCCCCCATATGGCCTGCCCAAGGCGACTCTGTAATGCCACTCACATACTCAAATTTTAAAACCCTAATCTACTTTTTTTTTGGTAAATTATTTGTGTACTTTCTTGCGTTTTAAGAAAAAGTGGTTTCCAATTTTGAGAGTTCAAGTTTACTTTTAAAAATAGACCACTATTTACCAAAGTGGCTGTTAAATAGAATTTAAACTGGGATTTTGGTAATGGGCGACTACCAGAAAACCACACGATTATTTGATGTTTCTGAGAAAGCACTTGCTGACATTGCCAAGGCTATAAATTTGTCACTCTGTCGTTCTGTTAGTTTACTCTACAATCAAAACTCTGCATTTCAGCATGATGGGATAGTTCATTTAATTAGATGTTGCCACTGCTCACCATCCATCTAAAACCCCCCGATGCCTTGCGAGTTTTCTCAGACCGCTTTTGCACTTCTCATACCCCGTTTGTGGTTGAACTGACAAGTTATTCCATCTTCTCACCCCCTACGCTTGTCATTAAGAGCAGCCAACCTCGGCGGTGTCACAAGCTCATCTCCTCCTCCTCATACTTCTCAAAGTGGTTTTGGTGTGTCTTTCACACTTAATCCTGCACTTTGACTTGGGGGCCCCGTGAAGTGACAAACACAATCTCCTCTCCTGAATCAAACACCCGTGATTCACCGGCCTCTGACGTCGCCCAAACTCCCCTCTTTCCTTTTTTTTTTTACGTTTTGTTTTTTCAGCTGTGACAAAGCTATGTGTGAGCCTCAAGTGTGATGCCTCCTGGATAGATATGACAGTGTGGAGATATGATAGCCAGCGATAGTGAGCACATGTGGGACATGAGAAAAGAAACGTCTGCCACCCTTGATGCCCCACTCTGGTATGTCGACGAGGAGACACTGAAGGTCTCGCAGTGAAGTGGGGACTGGAATTCCAAACAAGATTGTGTCTGTCTGTGCTGCCTGCCTGTGAAAACAGATTAAAATCATACTGACCAGTGCAGCCAGGAATGTGTTGAACCTTGAGCCTCGAAGGGGGGAAATCCGACAGCTCATCACACCTCACAAAAAACAAAAAAAAAGAAAGAAAGAAAGAAAGAAACCCCCCCCCCAACAGTCCCTCACAGTGTAGGCAGACCACCACAGAGCAGGGGCTGATAAAAGGAGGTGTTATTAGACTGGATCCTTAAACTGTTATGCTAATAACAAAATAATGCTTTTTAAAATGTCTTTCATATAACAGAACGTATCTCACTTGTTTCTAAATCGTATAATCACATTTAAGAGTAATTACATGGCAGAAAGCCTTTAGAAGATAAGAGTTAATTCCTCCTTGGTTTTAAGTTACGGTTAAAGGTCTTTGGCAGAGCGTGCTCTCAGTATATGTCCCTTATCTCAGTGGGTTTTTAAAACTTTTTCATGTCTAGCGCCACTAAACTGACACAAATTATACCACAAACCCCCATTTTTTTTAATAAGATTTTGTCCCAGGGTCCCTCATCTGATTACTACAGAACATTTTACTACAGAAAGTGTATAACACCCAGGCTGCTTCCTCTGCAGATAGAAACAGGTCATTCTAAGGTAACAAAAACACAACAAGTCTTATTTTCAGGTGATTATACACTAATGAAAACATACAAATGAATATTACATTAAATTACTGCCAATAGATCCTCTTAAATGTTACACTCTGGACCTTTAATATGTGCAAAAACCAAAGTGTATAAAATTACATGTTAGAGTTTTATGTGTGTCGGACTATTTGTGGATATTTTTTACACTATTGTACAGATTAAAGCCCCTACAAGTACTTTAGTTTTGTGTTGATTCTGGCGACCCCTGTGAACAAAAGCGGAAGTGTTTCCACCCCGAAACTGAACTTTAAACACTGGTTTCAACACCCGGACAAACATAGGATCTTTTAATTCGGAAAGCATGAATCTATAAAATAAAGACACTGTATTTAAAAGTACAATACGCTGCTAGATTCCAATTAAAATAAGCATAAATACCTGTTAAGTATTCAGATGTCAGACAGTGAAGCTTACACTGCAGCTCAAACTGCATTTATTGGAGCAGATTATTGCTTTCATTCTGACTGAAAGTCAAAGCGAAAGTCAGTGAGAGTCACAGCGATCCCAGAGAGTGGATGGATAACATCAGGGCTGTTATTATTGACAATAAACTGCAGGGCTGTTTAGCCAGAAACTCCCGGACCGAGTCATGAGACTTCCCTTGTGTTTTCACTCCATTCAAGTCTCATTTGACCGACCGAGGAGCACAAATAAGAGGGCACTGAGGTCCTGGCACCAGTTGTTCCACTCCTAGTCACAACAGTCTCAAAATAGTCCATTCATGCTCGTTCGCTGTCGTGCAAAGCGCGCTTGAATGTACAAAAGCTGTTGTCTTGCACCGTTCCTGTTCTTCGAACAGGGCCAATCCTCCACACCGCCTTTATATGAGCAGGAAATACTGAATTTGGCACCGATAAGGAAAAAGACTGGAGACTGGGGAATGGGAGATGGTGCACGCATGGACACATGTCTGGAAATAATGCTAAGTGTGGCTGTGCAGCATATAGACTGACATGCCTTCAGTATGTGAGCTTTCTGCATTGGCTGTTGACTGTCAGCTGTTAGCCTCTCGGGAAAGGTTAAGGACAAGGATTTAGAGAGAATGTGACATGTAGACTATTCAAAGGTTCATGTAATACTGCGAGTGCAATCAGAGACAACAACTGCGTTACATATCAAATTACTTCATGATTTTCACTGTATTTGGACCGTTTTCCAGACAGCTGTTGGTTGGTTTATAAAAAGTGTAAAATGCTCATTGTAATCTCCTAAAGGTGATGTCTTCAACTAACTGTCAAAAACCCAAACTGATTATTATAGAAGACAAAGAAATCATACGTATACTTGTGCTTCATCCAAACTCCTGGGGTTGTAGCTGGCTATATTAATACTGTAGCGGCCCTCTGTAAGAAGCTACGAGGTGATACCTGGTTTCGTTTGCTCTTTAATAGAGAACAAAACACAAGCTCCTGCGGGTTCATAGCCAGTGTCAACTATCAACAGTGTGCAACAGGCACTAGTATCTCAGTCCATCAACTCCCGCTCGTAGGGTAACATGCACCACAAAACTAGCAGGAACAACAACAACAACAACAACAACTGTTAACGACGGTTTAAAGAAAGTTACATATAAAACCTTTAATTTGAGGAATATTGTTTTTTAATCTTGATTTCTTTGTTTCAGCTGCAAATGGATAATAGATCCTCCAACAACACAGTCAGTCACAGAGTAATCAATCACTTATCTATCGGATATTTTACTTAAGTAAAAAGTAGAAATACCTCAATTTAAAAATACTCAAGTACTAGTAAAACGCTGTCATTCAAATTCACTATGCAGCCAAAATGGGCTCTGTTGTTGTTAAATTAATATGTATTAATGCTATTAAATTATTATTATTAATGCAATAACATTTAGGATGCATTTAAATGTTGTAGTTGGCTACAATATAGGTAATATTATTCATGTTTTATACTGTTGGATGATTGAATTCACTGTATAACAATTGTATTTTATATGTTGTGATATTGGACTATATACACAAGATTTACTTTAGTTTCTGTATTATTAATACAATATATTTTTATATATTCACCCAATAAACGTAGTGGAGTAAATGTTGTATAAAGTAGCATAAAAATGTACTTAAGTTACTTTCCACCACTGTTTTCCCATGATGTTTGCATGGGAACCAATCACAGATCCCACACTTTAATTAGATAAATATTGGTTTTAATGCAGCTTTTTCACTCACTCACACAGCATTTTAATCACTTATTGTGACAGTAAGTGAATAATTTAAAGCTCATGAGCGCAGCAGTGAGCAGCAGTAATTGGTGGAAAGGGGGAGGGAGCTATAACGGGTCAGTCACTCCCCATCCCTCTCTCCCAACGGTAGTCTGTCTGGGGCAGAAGGAGGAGGAGGAGGACGGAGCCATTCATTCCTTCTGTGGAGAGAAAAACGTGGAGAGGATGACGGAGAGACACTGAGGAAGCCAAATAAATAAATAGAATAAAACAAAGTCAGGATCAAATCAGAGAAAACTTAACCTGCACAAGAAGAGAAGACACAAGAAGAGCCTCAAACTCTGTGGATTTCAGAGGCGTCGCTCTCAGAAATCGCACAGCCAGCAGTTACACGTAAGTAGATCCAAGAGAAAAAAAAGCCTCTTTTCTTTTAACAGAAAACTGCTTTTGTGCAAGTAACAACAGTGAAACGAGCCTCAGTTGAAGACTCTCAGCTGCATACATTGTGGCTTTAGACTTTAAGAGTGTTTTCCACGTTGTAGTTTTGGAGGTTTTTCTGTCAGAGCTGTGAGGGGAAACTCGTGGCAGGAAAGCCGAGCAACACTGATGCTTTACCAGGCGATGCAGCTCAATATGAGCCTAATCTGTATCCAGTGGGACAGTTTTTAGATTGAATTTGTCATTTGTTTGCAGTTTTAATTCGTAAAAGTGTCTTTAGTTGGATAATGCACATGGTATAACTTCTTGGATATATGAGGGTTTTTGCAGTTGGACTCATGTCATCAAGTCAAAAATCACCAACATATACAGTTTACTACAATGTTGAGACAAGGGGAAAGCAGCAGATTTTTCACATTTGTTCACTCAGAAATGACTTTTGGCTATCAAAATAGTTGCTGATTATTGTTTATCGATCTAAAGTTTGCATCCCTGATTAAAAAAATCATTAGTTGCATCCCTAAATCCAACTTAAAAATGTGATTTTCTTTGTTTTTATTAGTCTGTTTAGTCGTACCATGTGTAGATTAAAAGCCTAATTTGATCTATAAAACTTCAGAAAATGTTGAAATATGTCCATCGTAATCTCTTCAAAGCTCAAGATAAAGTTTGCAAAAGTTTTGTTTGATCAACGGTCAAAACTTTAAATTGGACTCATGTCATGTCAGATTAATCGACCAAAGTTTACAGCCCTGATGGAAATAATCATTATCTGCATCCCTAAATCCAACTTAAAAACACAATTTCCTTTGCTTTTATTAGTCTGTTTAGTTGTACCATGTGCATTGTTGCCTGTAAAAGTTTTATTCAAGATGGAAAAGACACATGTGAAACATTAAAACCCTCATTTGATCTATAAAACGTCAGAAAATGGTGAAATGTCTCTACGTAATCTCTCTAAAGCTCATCAAAATAAGTATTTACCATCAAAATAAGACAAATAAAGGCAACAGATCCTCACAACTGAGAAACTGGAGCTACATATGATTCAGACTAACTTTCTGCCAATTATCTCACGTGTACAACAAAGTTTAATTTACCATGAAAGCTCTTTTTTTAAAAAGCATCATTAACCCCAAAACACCTGACACCTGAAGGTCTAAGGTTGCTCTGCTTATTGTGACTTCAAGAGAGAGTCTGTCGTGAGACAAAGTGTGACACAGATTCTCGTCTTGTTTTTCGTGTCGTGTTTCAACAGTAAACCTGAGAACTGGTCCCACCTGTAAACCAGTGTTTATGTGTGTGTGTGTGTGTGTGTGTCTCTCGGGGGAGGCTTCTTATATTTGACGTCTTTCGGAACACAATGTAACCAAATGTGCGGAACACTATCATGTATTTTGCTACTTTGTATCTTTTTTATGTCCTTTTCTGTAAAGTTTTAACAGTTCATGAGAGATGTCGTGTTTTCGTTCCAAAACCTCAGGCTCTGATTCATTGTGGTAGGAAACTTGTCTTTTCTTTCCCCCCACTACACGTGTCAAGTATTAGCGTCTTGTCATTTTGTTACCGTGAATTGAACGTGCTAAAATTGTTGTACTGTTGTCACTTTTATTAACCAGCTGCTGTAGAAGTTGCAGCCGTTGCAAGCCTCCTCGGCTGTGTGGTCTTGGTCTATTTATTCTGTAATTAGCTCAAGACCATTTCTTAGTAATTTCTCTCTTCTTTTTTTTTTCTTCTTCAGATGTTTTTAATGATGCTTAGGTCATCGCTGCATTAAAAGATGGCGGTCGGTTGGAATCGGTCAAGGGATTGCCGGTGGTTTCGGCGTGTGTGCCAGTGCACGTGGTCCCTCAGGGCTCCGTGTTTGGCCCATTAAATTCATTCATTACGACCCTGCAGGAACGCTCCTTTCCTCCGTTTTAGGCCACAAGAAAAGCAAAAAATACATGAGTCTCTCTCTCTATTTGGCAGCCAGGCAGTGCAGATGCTTTGGAAAACCTCTTTTATGTTTTTTTTTTCTTCCTCTAAACAGAATGGTAAACTTTCAAAGCATGGAAAAAAAAATAGTACCAGCCTCCTTTTGGTGCAGATGATTCTTTTAATGCAAAACAAAACTGCCAACTGGTCCGTGCAGAACCACATCATCTGCCGTTTCGTGCCTTTTTCCTCGGCTTTGATGCTCCTTTTGTCATTAATCCAGGATGCTGGCTTGCAAGTTTATGGGATTGGTCTAGTACTAGTTCTCCTGGAATGAGCACTACAGCTTCATCTTCTCTTACGCATTCGGATCCTAAATAAGCGTGGGTCCCGCTGATAGAAATCAGCCCCGGGCACTATCCGTGTGTGCTTAAAACCAAACCCGGGATCGCAGTGTCACCGTGTCCAGAGTGTGAAATTAGCTAAATGAACGGCTGCTCCTGTGTCGAGAGGTTAAAGCCAGCACGACTCCGGCCGGCTGGGACTAACATCTGGAAATACAGTTTGTTTTCAGCGAAGCCCTGCTGTTGATGCTCCAGTGTAAGATGGTCCTGATAACAAGGTTTATTTGCATCGAATTCCCTCAGACTACTGTAGCTGTTGCGCTTGTAACACTTAAGTTACAACATTCATTTTCCCACCAACATCATTCATGTCACCCCCATGCTATTCTTCTGGTTCTCAACGAGTGCGGTCAATAAAACAGGAAGTGGTCTAACGAAAACCAAGACATCACTGAGTTTTTTTTTAAATACACGACTTGTTTATTTGGCTGTAAAATTGACGTAATGCGAGGAAGACAAGTCTTAAAATTCAGACAAATCTCAAACTGGGTCACATTACGTTATTAGGTTTTCTGTTCCAAGCTTCTAAAATGAATTAAAAGCAGCTGGTTGTCCGAGTTTTGTTTCTTTGTTTTAATTTTTATTTTATAGAAAGGCTGGAAAGATCCAGAAAGATGGATTGTTAGACTGGTCCTGGAAAAATCTGTGTCACTGTCTGGACGTACAGCTTTGTTCTCTGACATTTTAACATTGCTGTCTGTCTTAGGGTCACTTTTTTTAGTTAGAACTATTTGAACTAATGTAATTAACTTGGATTCATGTGAATGTAGCCAGCTGTGTCCCAAACTGCACTGTAAGAACTGATGTTGGTTTTTTGTTTCGTTTATGTGCAGTGCTTCTACTGTCAGTCGTAAGCTCACGTTAATGTGATGCTAAAGCAGGTTTTAAAATCTTTTTCACAAAGTCAGCAAACATCCTCATGTTTATCAACATTATTATGATCCAAAATCCTTCCACACATTTTATTTCGGAGAGGTTTTGGTGTTGTGGTTAACCGTTAAGTTTAACTCTAGCTAGTTTTTGCAATTCTCCATTTGGAAAAGGAAACATTAGCACAGTTAGCTGATAGAGAAACTGCACCTGGACAGTGTATTTTGGGCTTATACATTGTTCATTTTTTGAATTTGAAGATCAAATATCTAAATGTTCCTACTACCAAACAGCTTTTTGAATTTAATTATATGTCACATTCATCCTGCCATAGATTGATTTAAACATTATCCATTTAGATGCACCTGTGCACAAGATCCTCTGTTCTCACAGTGGACGGTTTATTAGGTTTTTCGCATTTGACAAGAAACATAAAGTCATGAGTCTGATTAAAATGATGAAAAAAAGAAACTCTTAACTAAATTTGGTCCATAGTTAGATTGTACTCCTTTAGGGGTGGGTGGACGACTATTAAGGAGTGAATTTATACCCACACGAAATTAAGGAGTCACAATGTTGTTTTTTTAGTAAGTTTTTGGATTAATTGCCCAGCCCTTGTCAACCTCTTTTTTTGTGTGCATCTGCTGGTTGGATCAACTGGTTTTGGGTCTTTTTTTGGGGGCTTTTCGAGGCACCTGTAGTGAATTATTGTTTTACAACCTGTCAGAGAAGCAAAACAAGACATCAAACAGCGTCCAGCAGCCTTTACACGATGACCTTTTCCCATGTGTCCTCCTGTCTGTCACTTTTAACTCCCCCAAGCCCTCTGAATGATACTTCACAAAACTGTTTTACTCTCTTCGTATCTCCCCCACCTCCTCACCTCCGTGCTACACTATGAGGCAGTCATGCACACTGATTAGATTAGGCAACGTGAAGCTAATCACCCAACTCTCTCCTTTCCCCCCCGGTGCTATTCTTGGTCGCTCTTTTTTTGTTGTTTTCTAACCGTCCTCAGGTCCCCTCCCTCCTCCTGTGACTACCCAGGGATGAGCCCCTCTCCTGGGGGTACATTTCCCTCCAGCGAACCGTTTTCTGGGAAAAAAAACCAGGGTGGGGTCCTCAAAATAACAAAAGCCCTCACCCCGAACACTTGTCCCCTCTGTCAGTTGGAGGCCGACTGTAAAGCTTGTATGGAAACGTAGAGAGAAAGAGACATCCAAAGAAGTGAATGACTTGTGGAGGGCAGAGAGGGGGAGATAGACAGGGGAGGAGGCCTGGACCCTCCTGTCGGGTGAAATGAGGAGAAAGAATCTGCAGCGGGTTTTGTTCCTTTGTTGGCGAGTTGGGGGTCAGTCTCAGGGGAATTCGCGGCAGACGGACGGAGGGTTTTGCAGCTGCATGGCCTCCAGCACTTTATCTAGTCCCTGAGCAACTGCAGACTCGTTAAACTCTAACGTTCACTTCAGTTTATGTCTGTTAGACATCTCCTGTTTTCCTCCTTTTTTTTTTTTCTATTTAACTTATCAGACATGTTTGATTATTGATTAAAGCTGGAGTCACTTGCAGCTGTATGATGATGAAAAAGGTTACGACCTGGCCACAATAGGCAGTCTGTGTGTGTAAATGCGCGATAAGGCCAGTATCATATGTTCAGTTTTGGCTTAGGTCGTGGAAAGGAGTCTTTTAAAGCCGCGAACGAGATCACAGCGGATTGTGCATTGTTGATTGTGTCACTGCTGAAAGTTATAATGTGCTTTCATG